CTACTTTATCTAAATTTGTGCATTTTTTTTTTTATAGTGTATTCTATTGCACTTTTATATTTTTTGGTTACAAATATCCTTTGATTTCATTTCTCTTTTTTTTACTTCTTTTTAATTTTTCTGGTAATCTATTTTATATTTTAATGATCTACTCTGTAATTGCTTATATATTATATGGCATGATTCAATTGAATATTACAAACAATCTAGCTTTAGCGTCTATATATATTGTAATATTCAATTTAATTTGTAGTTATATAATAAAATATTAAAAAACATTACATTCACGTCTTTTAATAAATTCTCTTCTTAAAAATGAAATTAATTACGATTCAAGGTTATTTGCTTTAAGATTTTGTGAAAAGAGTCGCTATCGCTTCTCTACCTTCAAATCCCAAATTGTTTTAATAAAAAGGTTTAATTTTTTGTTGTTATTGGAAAAAAAGAATAAGTAAGTTTTTTTTTTCGAATATTCATCTTTATTGATGTCCAATTCCAAATAGGAAATTAAACTCTTTTGCCACATGATAAATCGAATTTAAATTAAAATTATTTCGATAATATTTCATGACCTTTTCTACAATATATTCATTCATTGGATATATCATGATGTTCTTTCGTCAATTATAATTGTATCAAAATATCTTTGACGAGCATAACAAAGTTTGTACAAACTTGGTCTGCAAAATCTATATAATAAATCATTCTAACATCAGACTCCGTAGGTAACAGTAAATTGGAAAATAAATGGTTTACCAAGAGGCAGCTAAATAAAGAGGAATCATATTTAAGATATTGAATAATTTCTAATAAAGCATTCATCAGTTAATTTAGACATTTGATATAATACTAGTAACTGTATTTTTTCTAATTAATAATATCATCTTTTGGAGTAGCTTTATAAAAAAAAATCGATTCTCTTAATTGTAAAAAAACAGTGAGCTCACTCAATGCTATTAATTGTATTATATTTTATTTCTTTTTCTGCCACAATATCATACTTTAATTGAATAAACAATTCAATTATTTAATTTAAATTTTCTTAAATCACTATATTTACTAACCGAATTAAATCTCTACAAAAAGTCACAAATGCAGCAAATTTTCAAAAATTAAAATTAAAATGGCTGGATTTAAAAAAGATCAAATCGAGGGTCTTTTAAACTTAATTTATTGCTGTCTCTAAGCACGAAACAAGGAAAAATAGTCAAATCAAACACTTTACAAACGACAAGAAAAATCTAATGAACGAAATCCAATACGAAATTTTAGGAGGAATAATAATTGGAACAGTATTATTAATAATATATTTAACAAAAATAATACAAAAAATGCAGAAAATGAGAATATGAATTTAATATTATAGAAATTAAATCCCGAATCATTAGTGAAATACATAAATGAGGTTTATATTAAGTAATAATGACCTTATTTTCTGATTTAAATACACATATAATTATGTATGTTGATGCTAAATGAAAGCTATTTATTATATGATTTATATACTAGAGGCATGCCCAAAAATTTTACTGTGCCTCCTATACTAGTATGTACACATTTAATGTAGTACAACATTTAACAAGCATAGTTTTAAAACCACAGTATTCTAGTATCATTTTCAAGTTACAGAATTGAATTGGCTTTACTAAAGATATATGATTTTTATAATGATAATTGATTTTTTTATGTATAACACCCTAGTACAGCAGTATAAAATGAAACCAGATTGATTGTGTAATATATATAAGATCAACTTTTTCTAGCAATTATTCATGCTTGAGACTTGCTTTTAACAAAATAATGCAAAGAAAAAAAGAATACACGATTTAATATATGGTATTATTATTATGCCGTTTTTTAACTTTAAAAAAATAGTTTCTTTTAACTCTGGTTTTGATATTCAAGAAGGTGAAACTGAATTTGAGTGTATATACGTTGAAGAAAAAAATAGAAAAAAGCCGCACAAGAATGGTAAAGATTTTGAAGATAGAATTGGAATTATTTTTATGAATATGAATATAGAATTATGTAGACTTAGGTGAGTATTCACTGAGTTATTTGTCTAGTTGTTATGTATCTTAAGTTACACTGCCACTAGGTGTAAATCATGAGAATGAAAGCTCATTGTGGCCTAATCATGTGGTCAACATGGTTATGAACATTCTTCTCATATTATCGAAAGTAATTTATGGAGTTGCTCTAGACCTGTGGTGAATAGGTACATGAATTGAGAATTGAAAGCTCTTCGTGGCCTAATCATGTATTCAAATATGATTATGAACGTTCTTCTTGAATCTTGACGATAATGAAGACAAATGCTCAAATTTTTTATTTTGTTTAATCTGATAGATATGCACCAGGTGACAGAGGTTGGAGTGGATATACGATAGTAGTTGAATGCAAGGTATATTAGAGTATCTATTGCAAGTTACAAAACTTAGTACAGATAAGTATCATTCTATTGTGAATAGTAAAAACATATTAATTGAAATTGCAATATCTCTTGAACAAATAAAATAAATTTATTAGATTTCTCTTAATTTAATAATGCTTTTTTATATATATCAAGACAAGGTTAGTAATTTCTAAGAAAAATAAAATATAATATTAAAAATATATTAAGAGAAGTCTAATAAATAAGTTAATTTGTGTACAGTATATCTACTAGTTCAAGAGATATTACATTTTGAATTTTATATGTTTTTACTGTTTACACTATAAAAAATTGGTCAATGATCATTACTATACCATCTGCACTATGTTTGTGATTGGATTTGCATTAGACACTTAAAGGTATATAATCAAGTCTAATCAATTTTAAATTTATTTATGATATCAATTGTTTTTTATTTAATAAGGATTGTGATAAAATAAGACCTAAAATAGTGCATGAAATTGAAGGAGTATTGTTAAGATACAGAAAATTTGAAACTATCGGCATCTTAGTAGCTTCATCAAAGAAAAATTTTACTAAGAATTCAAAGATAGAGTGAACTCATCTGGATATAATCTTATCCTCACAGATGAGTTGAATTTGGAATCAGATTTTATTGATTTTATTAATTTTGTCGAGAGTAAACAAATCAAATTAACTCAATACAATAAAGGACAAAATGAAAGATCTAACAAATATATAATTATAATTATCATACTTTTATTATATATTTCTTTTATTTTAACTGGTATATATTTTAAATTATAATTTTTTCTGGAATATTAATTGACATGTTTTTTTTATCACGCGCAATATCTTGGTGCACCATACTTAATACAAATAATTCTCGAGTCTGTACACTATAAATGTTAATTTCATCCGGAAATCCGACCAACATCTACATAATTTGAAAGTTATTTGAATCTATATTTCTATTAAATAAAATATTGTAAATTAATTAATAATATGTATATTGTACTAATTTTAAAACTTTATTTACTTACTCTATCTCATTAATATTTTTAATTTTTGCAAAAAATCCAGTTCTACTTTTAGAATGTATTTTCACTGTTTTATCAATTAGCTGCTCATTTGCATCCTTAATAACTTTTGCAAAAATCTAATAGTTACGACTTTCTAGATGAAAAGGAAAATCTATATGATAATACTTATTATTTTTATTAATTTGTACAATTTCTGTTATAAGTATCTGATTATCTATTCTTAAAATTGATTGAATCATTAAATATGATTGGCTAATAAATATCAAATGATGGTGAAATTTGAGGGTCTCGATTTGAAAATATAATGATAAGCTTTACCAAAATCTACCCATACTCTTTTATTAATAATAACTCTAACCTTAAATCCTAATTTAACAATAAAAAAAAAGCCGACAAAAAAGGCTCTAAAAAATTTAAAAATCATACATAAAATAGATTCAAATTTCACATCATCCAATTTTACAATCGTCCATGATATAAATATTAAAGTCCAAAAAATTATTTTATTTAATATCTTTTGCTGAGCCCAAATCTGTTAAATTATGAGCTAAATTAATACAATTCATTAGAGTTAGCACATATTAAACTTAGTTCGTTCTCTGATGGCATCTTGATGCCATAGGAGAATGAAATGAGTTTGAGTAATAAAATTTAAATTATCAACAATATCGATATGAAATTATATTATATAACAAACAAAATATATCAAAAAAGAATTTCTTATAGTACTATACAATGCACGCTTCAGTTTTATGTTTCAAAAGATATTGACGCAAAAAATAATTTGTCATATTTAAAAATAGATAGATATAGGATTTTCTTTAGTATAGATATATGGAGGCGAGTCAATAGAAACACACCACATCATTTTTAATAAAATTTTTTTAAAACTTTAAACAAAAATAACTTAGCAAAAACTTAATCAAATTTAATAAAAATTTTTTTAAATAAATTTTATAAGTTTTTAGGATTGTTTTAAAAAAATTTTTGTTAAATTTGATAAAGTTGTTGTTGAGTTATCTTTGTTTAAAGTTTTAAAAAAATTTACTTAGAAAAAAAGTAGTGCGTTTCTATTGACTCACCCTATGTATATATAAATTCTTATAAGTTCATAATATATAAAAAGTAACTAATTTGAGTAATTTAAATTTTAACCTTAACTTTAATTTTAATAGTTTATAAAATTACTTAAATTAGTTCAAAATAGTTAATTTATATATTATATATAAAAAATTATATATATTTATATATTTATTTATACTAAAAATTGATTTTTTGTCCTCGAGGATAAAGGACTTCCAATGGAGGAAGTCTGTCTTAAAATCCTAAGCCAGGTGTCTGAAAATAAGGG